GGAAATTGTCAAGATCAGCTGTCTGCCAGTGGAACAGTAGCCATTAAAATCTGAGCAGGACAGATTCAAATATCTTTCCCCTTCCTGGTATGAATGTTATGCTACAAAATGTCTGTAGCTGTTGGTTAGAAGCAAAACAAGAAACACCACTGACTGAAAATAAACAAGTATATAATAATCATATAAGCATAGCATTAAGTATAATGTAAATCATTTGTCCAAGGTGCAGTAATGAAACATATAAGAAGAAGCACCATCTATAGTTTTTCCATGTGTCTTGTTCCAGCATAGAAGCAAATATCAATGATCAAAGTCCAAACTGAATTATATATCATCATTGAAGTGTATATCATCGACACGTAATCCGGATGCCTGATGCCGCGTTTCGAATAATTCTTATTCAAGCATTGCTGTAATGGGACTAAATGCAAATTCAAAACATATGCAAGTGAGAATAAGAATTATTCGAAACGCGGCATCAGGCATCCGGATTACGTGTCGATGATATACACTTCAATGATGATATATACTTCAATTTGGACTTTGATAATTGATAATTGATATTTGCTTCTATGCTGGAACAAGACACATGGAAAAACTATAGATGGTGCTGCTTCTTATATGTTTCATTACTGCACCTTGGACAAATGATTTACATTATACTTGATGCTATGCTTATATGATTATTATATACTTGTTTATTTTCAGTCAGTGGTGTTTCTTGTTTTGCTTCTTGTACTGTACACTGGCTTCCCCCCCCCTTTTTTTTGGCTGTAGCTGTTGTTAGACATCACTTGCGGATCTGCCTTTGGTTCTGAAGGGGCAGATAGTACAGAAGTACAGATGGGAATGAGCCCTTCTTCCCATGCTTGGTTTCACTAGCCCCCCCCCCCCCCAATGTTATTAACCCTTTACAATAAAAACCAATCTTTGCTGATTTCCCCCACTCTAAAGACCTGTAACAGTTATAGGGCCCCGGTTTCAGTTTGCAAAACTTGTAGGGGAGGGCGCTGTTGAAACGCCCTCTTTCCTCCTAGCATGGTCCTGACATGGACTGGAGCTGCACGAAGCTTTCACTCGATTTTAAAAGATGCTGGGAATATCCTGTTATGGATTTCCCGATGTCTTGCATCTGCTCTGAGCCTTAGGTTTGAGCAGATCTGCGGAAGCTGCTTTATTACCCCACACTAGATGTCAGTATTAACTTACCTGACTTGTAATCTCAGGTGTTGGTCAACTTTGTAGCAGAGCAAGGTGCAAACATGTGATTAATAGTGGTGCAAAGTATGGTTCTTGGAATCTTAGGAAGGCGAGGCAATTAATTTGTTTTATAAGTATTTATCAAAGCAGGCATTTCATAAGAAATGTTTATTAAATTGAATCATCTGCTTCCTTCATGATAGCAATCCAGTAAGTGTTCTGGATTAGAAAGGTATACTCTTGCTAGGTGGACCTTGGGCTAGTCAACCTTTCTCAGCCTGGCCTACCTCTCTGGGTTGTGTTGGAAGGATAAAATGGAGAACTGGGAGATATGCTGCTCTGAGCACCTTGGTGGGATAAGAATATAATGGATGGATGGATGTGTCTGGTTCAAATCTCTCCTCTGCCATGGACTCAATAGATGATTTATAAGCAAGCCACTTTCTCTCATCTCCCCCCCCCTCCAATATTAATTTACCTTGCAAGTTTGCTGTAAGGATTACAAGATAATATCTGTGAAGTATTTTGAACCCATGAAGTCTGAACTATAGAAGTGGTGAATGCTTATTACCATGCAAGTGGGCTGAAAGTTTGAGATGGAACTTATTCAGCCACAAGTTTACTGTACTGATCTTTCTACAGAGATTCCAGAGGTCGCCACCCCCCCCCCTGCATAACAGTGCTGTCCTGAACAGAGCTCTACCCTTCCAAGTCAAGGGTGTAACTTGACTTAGTAGGACTGCAGTGTAAGTGACTCAGGTTCAAGGACAATTTTCCTGATTCTGCTGAGACAACTGATAAGCAGAGCTATCTTCCAATGAAGCACTTTTGGTTTCAAGGGATTGAAGCCTGTTATGGGTAATTAAACTACAGCAGTTCTGTTTTGTGGTGTCACAGTGACCTCAAGAGCCCCAGGGCCCTTGCACGGAAGTAGAAGACTGGAATAGTGTGGAGGTAGGTGGGAATGGGGTTTACTTTAATGTTTCAGTTGTTACGAATGAAAGAATATTGTTGTTTTCAATGACAAGTCAGTTAAAAAAGAGAATGGTCAATTTTATTTCAAGATCTGGACTAGTGCAATTGATTTTGGGGGCTTTCCTGTAAGCGAAGTTGTTACTGGTCAGCTCTCCTCTAAAATTGGGTAGTTGGCACCCAGAGAGAAAAGACCAGACACCCTTCATCCATATACATCACCTTCAAATAAAAATCATATATTGCCTGGCCTGAAATATCAAGACCAAAAATAGTCGTCGGCAGAAAAGGTCAAACTAGAAGCAAGAGCCTTGGGAAAACATTTGGCAGGGGACGCCAGAGCGGCTGGCATGCAAATAGTTCTTCCCCATCCTACAAGTAATACATATTTTACAACAGGGGCTTTCTCAGGGAAACAGCACCCCACTTCGAAGTGATTTCTTTAATTCCTGGTACTGACTCCCCCTCTTGGTACCTACACCTTTGTTAGTATACTAATAGCACCTGGGAAGTGTGTCATTCTTCCTGCATTTGGGGACATCCACAGCCGTAGCATAGCTCCAGGAGGGCTATCAGGATCCACTTTGATCTCCTTCCAGACAAACCATAAACCATTAATCCAAGTTCTTGGGAAACCTCCTGTAAACACATCAACATACCCCTAGGTATCATTTTTGGGTATAAATATAGGCATATTGCCCCTTTGCAGTGTTTGTGTGTTCTCGAGCCAACTACGCACCAAGCACTGGTCGTTTTTCTCTTCTGCGGGCCTGTATCTTCACAATAAGTAATTATAGCCTACCCTAAACTGCTTCCTGCTACTTCCTTCATTTCTTGGTTAGCTCTCGTTTGTGTGTGTTTGTACAGTGTGCTTTTGTGTGTGAATGTTATTCCTTATTCGTTTTCAATAAAACACTACTAGTGGAACATCAGCCTTGCTTAATTGAGAGTGCTCTGGGAAGGATTCTAGTATACAAAGGTGATGATCCCAAGTTATCCCCTCTTGCTAAGCTAAATTCCCCAATCAAACATTCGACTAATCCAGGTAACCAAGTGATTTTTTAAAATAGCAGACTTTTAAAACAAAATGTTTTCCTCGAAACTGTAGCAAGTGGTGTACCTGCAGATGTCGTTGTAGCTGTTGATGTGAATACAGTGGCAAATGAAGTTTACAAGCACAACTTTCCCACCACCCCACTGTGGCCCAAGACAATTGAGGTGAGTAATCATCCTGCAAAATGTTTTTCTCTTGGTCTGTGAGTGCAAGGGTCTTTTTCAATAATTATATAGCAAGGTGGTGAACTTGATGTCACAAACGTAATAAATAAATTATTTTAGGGTTGTTTTTTTTAACTTTGTCTTTTTGGACAGTGGGCATAACAAGCCACTTTTGAAGCCCTGGGGGAACTTTCAGAGCACTTTACCATGTGCCAGTTTGCCATGATGTTCAAATTGGAGCAAATGCCTGGGCAGATTGGAGGATTCTAAACTGGATTAAACCATGGTTTGGAATTCCCGTTTGTGGGGTGGTAAACAAAAGTCCAGTTTGCCCAGATACCTGTTCCTTATGGGCAGGGGAGGACAAAAGGAGGAAATTGAAATAACGGGTTGGGGAAAGATAACCAGGTGAGTGAAGTTAACTTTGTGCTGGCCCTTACCAGTCAAGAATGGCAAGTTAAAACTGTCTTAACAGACTATCAGTCCATCTTTTCAAACTTCCCAGGGAGAACTGAGCTCAGCACAAGATAGATACTGGAAATAGTAGGCCAGTTGTGCTGCCACCTTACAGAGTAACTGGCCCTAATGCCACCACTGTTGAAGGGGAGTTTAAAGAGATACTGAATCTTGGACTTATTGTGCCTTCAGAAAGTCCTTGGGCCTCCCCAGGTATTTTAGTTCCGAAACCAGATCAAACGGTAGGATTTTGTGTGGACTATAGAAAACTGAATAAGGCAATGGTCCCGGATGTACATCCTATGACCAGGGCGGATGAATTAATCGAAACAATCGATGCTGCACGTTTTATTTCCACATTAGATTTGACAAAAGAGTATTGGCAGATGGCCATGAGTCCTAAAGACCAACCCAAAACATCCTTTGTAACCAGAGTGGGATTTAGGAATGCCCCAGCCACGTTCCAGAGGCTGATCAATAAATTATTGATTGGTTTAAAAGATTTTGCGTTTGCATATGATGATTATGCAATCTTTAGCCAGACCTGGAAAGAACATCTACAACATCTAGCCATAGTGCTACAAAGAATAAACGAGGCTGGTTGAACAGCGAAAGCATAAAAAAATAGCTATGTGCCAAGTAAAATGTCTAGGGCACATACTTGGAAGTGGGGTAATCAAGCCAGACTGGAGCAAAGTGCTACAGGAATGGCCTAAACCCACAACCAAAAAGCAATTTAGAGCCTTTATAGGAGTTGTGGGATATTATTGAATGTTCATTCCAGAGTTCAGTTCCATTGCAGCTCCATTGTATGAATTTATTAAGAAGACCTTACCTGACAGGGTAAAATGGACTCCTGAATGCCGAACCGCCTTTGAACACCTCAAACAGATATTGAACACAGAGCCAGTCTTGAAGGCTCCTGACTTTATGAAGCCCTTTACTATATATACTGACGCTTTCAGTATTGGGATAGGTGCCATGCTAAGCCAGATTGGAGAGGATGGAATCCAACATCCTATCCTTTATCTTAGTTGGAAGTTAGTGGAGAGAGAACAACTCCTCTCTGCCATAGAAAAAAGAATGTTTGGCAATAGTATGGGCCTTGGGGATGCTACAACCATATGTCTGGGGGAGAAAATTCACGTTGTATACCGAAAATTCCACATTATGTTGGTTGAACCAAGTAAAAAATACCAATAGGAAATATTTAGATGGAGTCTCCTATTACAGGAGCTCAACTTTGAAACTGTGCATATAAGAAGGAAAGAGAATGTGGATGCCAGTGCAATCTCCATAAACACCTAAAGTTGCAAGTTGTAAAATTGGTGTGAATTATACATGGTTATATAGGACGTTTGACCTGCTGGTATTTTAAAAATGTAAAATGCAAACACATGATACACCCCATTGCACAGGAGAGGCTTAAAAGCACCTCCCTTGAAGCAGTGAGAAAAAGGGTGAGACATGTGATGGACCCCAGCAGGTTATAATGCCATTTTCTCCAGGGGATCTGATTTTGTTTGTCTAGAGATGAATTGTAATAGTGGGAGATCTCCAGGTGTCACCTGGAGGATGGCAACCCTAAACGAGAGTTTGATTAAAGGTTTCCCAGACTAGGAAAGATTTTAACCATGAGAGGTACATGAGGGGGGGCAGGAATGGAGGCGCATAAGACAAAGTATATTTGTGCCTCCCACAGACAGAGGTTTGTTGTGACACCTGGACATGGCCCATTGCTTGTTATCTGCCATTTTTTAACCAGTTCTAAAGATCAAATTAGGAATCTACTATTGCTTGGAAATGTTTTCCATTTTTTATGGCTTCCCCAATTAATCCCATTGAAAGTACTGAACAGCTCCTGTTCTCTGTTAATGTGATCTGTGAATGAAACCCCAAGAGAGGCATATTAGTGCTGGCATCAGTATGGTGCCTGACCATTGGGCAAGACTGAAGTATGAGTGCAAATCTGCAAACAATGTTGTGGGTGTTAGAAAATGACAGTTATTGTGACAAATACCTGGAATTCGAAGGCTGTTAAAGCTCAGATGATGTGTAAAATTGAATATGTGAACAAAATGATTTATAACTCCAAAACAAGGATTAACACCATCCTGTTCGTAAAAGAAAATGCCTCATTTGTCTCTTTCTTATTCAGGGCATATCACTGAAGGAGTTCGACAGATTATCGTTTGATATGATTTTGATGAGCCCTCCCTGTCAGCCTTTTACAAGGTACTGGTTTCAAATGCCCTGCTTCATTTTAGAACATAAAGTATTGTTCAATGGATTATATACTACAGTTTTACTTTCTTTCTGTTATTTATACTATGTGAACATTTATGAGGTAACGCAATGTGAAAATAATATATTTTTTTAAAATAGGTAACAGTGCCACATATGCTATGGCAGGGCAAGGGTACTAGAACAGCTTCAGGATCTCTGGACTTCCCATTCATTGTGTTAGACCTATTATTTTTAATAAAACCAATATTTTGTTTAAATTGGAAAGAAATAGTTGACTTTAAATATGGCAAAACAAACCAAATGCACTGGTGGCTTGGTTGTAGGTGTGCTCATATGAATGAAAACTTGTAATATGCGAAACAGCCAATGTGATGGAGGTTCTGTATTTTAATTCGCATATCCTCCCTTCCATGCATAACATAGGGATTTTTAATAGGACATGAAGCATTTGGGTGAGGATGAGCTAAACCCTGCCCCCTTGCGCCTCACCACACTTTGCTGCATTGCCTACAGCGTGTTTTCTCAAGTCTGTTTGGCTCTGATACTAGATGCAGCAATGTCTGGGGGGAAAATGCTTAAGCAATGGAATACAAGGGGTTAAGGAAGGAGAGAGGAGAGAGTTTAGCTCCTGTTATCCACATGCTCAATTTTCTGTTAAAAAATGGACCCCGTCCCTTGCTTTACATATGAATGAGAATATGAATGAATAAATGTACATGGATTTCTCTATCCCCAACCTCACATACAGTGTAGTACTGAGATAGTACATGTGATTGACCTTTGATTTATACCTTATATTTGGCTTGGATCCCTTTAAAAAGTCTATTTTCACCAATTACCCACTTCCCCAGAAGACATCCCCCCCTCCCCCAGTTATTAGCTGAGTTCCCCTGTCTTCTTAGGAGCAGCATTTGGGGCTGTGCTGGGAGTTGGGGAAGTCACAATCCATGAATGAAAGTTCTTCCTTCCACAGATAATTCAGGTGGGATCCAAGCCTTTGTGTGAAGGCTTTTATAGATTTGAATCAAGGATTTCAGTGTAATGAAAGTTGTGCTAATGTTCACATATTGCTTTAATTCTTTGCTCTCTCTGTGTCAGAACTGGTCGACAGGGTGATACTTCTGATCCCAGGACTCAAAGTTTCCTCTATATTCTTAATATACTTCCAAGGTAACAATTGAAACTTCTCAAATAATTGTTTAATATGTTGCAGGGGGCAATGAAATATTCATATTGTATCAAAGCAACCAGTTACAGCAAATTATTCACACAGTGTTGGCAATTGTTCAGACTAACAGGCAAAATAGGTGTGTCCCATTATAAAAGAGCCAGTTTGATGTAATGGTTAAGTGCGTGGACTCTAATCTGGGAGAACCAGGTTTGATTCCCCATTCCTCCACTTGTAGCTGCTGGATGACCTTGGGCAAGCCATAGTTCTGGTCAGAGTTGTTCTCTCAAGGACAGTTTCTGTCAGAGCTCTCTCAGCCTCACCTACCTCACTGGGTGTCTGTTGTGGGGCGGGGAAGGGAAAGGAGTTTGTAAGCCGCTCTGAGACGCCGGGTGAAGGGTGGGGTATAAATCCAGTCTCTTCTTCTTCTCTTCTTCTTCTTCTGCACAAAAGGTGAGTGAGAATATTTGGATGCCATGCAAATAGCAGCCAAGTGTGTGTAAGCCGGTGATACTCAGTGACACAGGAGCCACATGTGTTCCTCATGACACCTGCTTATGCTCTGGGAATGTGGGTGATTTCTTTAGAAACTGGAATAATTTCATCATTACTTGATTTTTTTACACTCAACACAACTGGCCCATGATGATTATATCAAGGTTGTGCACATGTAAAAGTTCCGTGTTTGAGGTTGAGCAGCTGAATGGGAATGGTGCATACCACTGTTGAATGGTAGCAAAATTCCAGTAGTGGGGGAAGATAACTCTACATTCTGCTAATTAAAAGGATTATGTTATGTATCATTGTTTGCATATGCTTGGGGTGGTATGTGGGGCATTCAGTCATCATGTGGCTCTTTTGGTTGATGGGAAATTGCAAATGTGACTCTCTATGATCCGCAGAGTGAATACCACTGCTCTAGGCTGTCATGGGGGGTTTCAAAGAGAGGCAAGACTGTGCTAGCAAAGATGGCACTTTGTACATTAACAGCTATAAGGAGTTAGAAAACAGGAGTTGTTTTCATCTTTGACCCATTCTGGTGTTCCATTAAAAAAAATCCCAGATTAGTGGGTGATTGAGTTGTGATGCTGCATGTTCAGTCTATTGACTTGATTCCAAAGATGTGGCATTTCAGGAAAAGCCTCTGACTGTTGACCCCCCCCCCTTCTTATTGCTGTGAACATCCACAAGATTTGGGCCCTGGCACACTGCTGCACATTCTTGAAAACTCCCAGTTCAATAACAGTTAGACATAACATTCTGCACTCACAAAATTCTATTGTGTTACAGAGTTGATAATAAGACCTCATACAAATCATCAAGTTGGCAGTCATTTTATGTTGGCTCTTAGTATTGTTTATACTGCACTCAACATTATGTGGATAAAACTTTTTTGAGTGACTAATAAATGGATACGAATACAAATAATGATTTCTACATGATGCTTAATCCCTAATTTCCTTGTCATAGATCATCGCTGCAACATGATACAACTTTGACATGCAGAATTCTATAAATACTGTTTTCTGTAATGGTTTTCAGTAAATAAACTGGACTGAAAAGTGATGTTTATGATAGTACATCAAAAACCACCTCACAAGCATACGTACAGATGAACACAACTGGTTCACCTTGGGACTTTTTATGCACATGCTTTTCCTGCTTTTACCAAGCACCTAGACAGCCACATGAATAGGCCCTGATTTACCAGCATAGAAACTGATGGGACTGAATCTTTAAGACCATTTATGGAACTTGTTTGTTTCTGGGATTATTTAGTTTAACAAATCTTATTTTAGAAAACAGTAAAGACTAACAAAATTTGTGGTAGGGTATGAGCTTTCATATCTAAAGAAGTGAGCTCATACCCTACTACAAATTTTGTTAGTCTTTATGGCGCTACTGGACTCTTACTCTTTTGTGCTGCTACAAACAGACTGACATGACTACCCATCTGAATCTTATTCCAAAGTAAGAGTAAGAGTACATAGGATTTCAGCCTTAGCAAATTGACAGAACACTTGCTCTGTGTGTGTGTGTGTGTGTGTGTGTGTGTGTGAACAAAGAACATCAGCATCTCTGTTTTACAAATGAGGTAACAAGGGTATTCAGAGCGGGAACAGTTCTTGTTCTACTACTGTTTTCTGCCAAACTGTCTGGTACTGAAGCATGCATTCTTAGATGGTCGGTGTAATGTAATATCTTTCTCCAACACAGCACAAGGCACCGCAAGGAATTTTTTCTTCCTTGACTCTGAGAACAGTCTGGCTGAGTGACTTTTATCTCAAAGCACCATAAGATGTGCCTAATCTTCCTTGGTCACATGCCTGACAGAAGCAAGACCTCTGTAATGAATTCCATTTCTCACATTCTGAAGAGCTGTTTCTGGACTGCCCCAACTCCCCTGGGGTTGTGTTTTGCTGAGATAATGCTACTGCATTCTTTGGCATGTCTGCAAATAACCAAGCTTGACTGTAGAAGCTATTGACACATGACAGAATGTGAGCTTTTGGATTTAGCAAAGAGAAAACTATTCCATCTTACCTGCAATAACATTAGTGACAATAGTTTACTTATACAACACATTGTGCAAGTTTACAATCTATGTCTTATCTGTGTACCCCAGAATCACTATTTCTAGGGCAGTAATGCTCTGTATTCTTGGTGCTTGGAGGGTAATAGTGGGAGGTCTGGCCCTGCTGGTGGACCTCCTGATAGCAGGTTTTGGCCACTGTGTGCCACAAAGTGTTTGATTGGATGGGCCATTGGCCTGATCCAACATGGCTTCTCTTATGTTCTTAATCTTCTGCTACAAAGAATGGTCCTACAGAAATTTGACAGCTTAGAAAGCATTCCCTGTGGCTAAGGCATTTGAATCTCATACAAAGACCTTAGGAGGATTTGTGAGCATTGCATGCACATGAGAGAGAATTGCAGGGCCTGGACATCTCCTGAAGACACATAACGGCAATCCTTTTGTAGTACTATGTGCTTATTGCAAGGCTGAGTTCTTCATAGCAGCTTACTTGCATCTCTTGGCTCTAGGAATGCTGAGAGGGGTTTTTTTGTTGTTGTTAAATGGGAACAGAACCATATGAACTTATAGTTTGATTGTGGTCATTTATTTTGATCCAGTAGTTCTTGCTTTCTAACTATCATACAAACAAATTGATTTGCAGGCTTACAAGACGACCGAAATATATACTCTTAGAAAACGTCAAAGGCTTTGAAACATCAACGGCCAGGTATGGTGGAGTCCATAAGCTGGCAGGAGGAGGGAAGAACGATGTGAGAAATCACTTTGAGGCTGGAAAAAAAAGATGGTTGCAGTGGACAAATTGGCATGGGAATACTGGGTTTAAATCATGTATGCTGCCATAGAATAGAATAGAATAGAATAGAATGGTGAGGCCCATACTTAATTGGAACAGCTGTGGAATTGAAAGTGTTGGTTTCTAAAGTGCCATTCCCTTGGTGCAATGGCAGCTCCTGTGGCCAATGTTTCCTCTAAGCTGTGGAGTCTTGTGAGCAAAAATTGTACTTTGTGAGCTACCAGCATTAAAGTTCTGAGTGAGCAATTTGGCTACTGCATAAATTTGCTCTGCAGCCATCATTCGTGAGCTAAGACAAAAGTGTGTGAGCCGAAGGCTAAAAAACGGTGAGCTAGCTCACATTAACTCAGCTTAGAGGGAACACTGCCTGTGGCTGAAAGGCTTTTCCATCTGTGGAGGGGAAAGGAGTTTTTTGCATACTACCCTTTCTGCCACAGAATCCTCATTTTCTTCCCATGGTGTCCACTGGCCTACAGGAATACAGTTTGGGGGTGTAGGGGTCCCAGAGGGCTCCAGTTGGGTGGGGAGTTGTCCTCTTTTAGTGGAATTCCTATCATTATGCATAGGATCCAAACCAAAGTATATTCGGGCTTTAGTAACGAATGAATTCTCATTTGAGACTCATAATAGCCATAAGGAAAGATTTTATTTATTCTGAAACATGGAGGGCCATATTTAATTTTAAAATATAGTTCCAAATTCTTTTCACTATTGTGCAGCCGGATTTCATCTAGACACTGTTTCCCTATCTCCACAAGCAATAAAGCAATGGCTTCCTTCATAAAGAAACCCCGGTCGGTTCATGATGAGAATCAGCCAGGAAGTTCATTTCACTGATATTTAGAGGATGACTGTATTTTAGAAATCTGGTTTGTAGGCAAGAGAGAGTGGAAATGCAGTTTAGCATTTTACCCAATTTGGATATCATAGGGAACAGAAATTTGTTCCAAACCAGAAAGTTCTTAATCTCCATGCTGTGTGCAGGGCAATTGAATACATGAATCTGAGGACTCCTGGTTTGTTTTTATCATGTTAAAATAGTAGCCAGTATGTCACCATGGATATTAACTGGAACATAAAGAGAAATAGTATGTTAGTTGTTGTAGATTTTTTTGGGCTGTATGGCCATGGTTTTAGCACTGTAGGGCCTGACATTTCACCAGGAGCTGTGATTGGCATCCTCAGAAGTATAACACAGAAAGATGGAGTACTCTCTGTACACTTCTGCGGGAGTATACCGCATACCCTGCAGTTGTGGACAGGTTTACATCAGGACCACACAGTGTGGCATTCAGACAAGAATAAAAGAACATGAAAGACACTGTAGACTGGGCCACCCTGAAAGTCAGCAGTGGCTGAACATAGCCTAACTCAAACAGGACACAGTATCTTATTCCAAGACACTGAAAGGCTGGACAACAGATCCAATTACCATGTCAGATTACACAGGGAAGCCATTGAAATTCATAAACATAAACACAATTTCAACAGGAAAGAAGAGAGTTTAAAAATAAATAGGGCATGGTTTCCTGTCCTGAAATACACAAAATGCTCCATCTTACAATAGCACTACAGATAAGATTAGAATTTCAACAGCCAATCCATATGCAAAAGCACCTCCTCAGGAAAGCTCCTCCATTAGCATGTTCATAGCCTGGGGAACTCCTACAAGTTGATGACTCAGCCCTATCCCACCTTCCTGAGTAGATATAAATTGCCTGCCTACCATTTTTCTTCTCCCCTTGACACAGAGAGTACTCCATCTTTCTGTGTTATACCTCTGAGGATGCCAGTCACAGCTGCTGGCGAAACATCAGGTCCTACAATGCCAAGACCACGGCCATACAGCCTGAAAAATCTACAACAACTAATGAACTCCAGCCGTGAAAGCCTTCAACAACATATAGAAATAGTATGGTTGAACAAATCCCCTTGAGGTATATATTTTTTTAAATTAAAGCTGGCTGTTTAACAGTTTTCTAGCAAAAACATTATGTTCAGGATTGCTTCAGACAACCACCTGCTGAAATCCTCAGTTTCATCTTGTTTTGTCTTCTCAGAGATGAACTCATACAAACACTAAGAAAGTGTGGATTTACTTATCAAGAATTTCTTTTGTCTCCAACTTGTGTGAGTAATGGCACTGTTTAAGAAAAAGTCAAACCCAAACTTGTATTGCAAATGCACACATGTTTTAGAAAAAGCAGTTTGTGTTGTGTCTCTTGTAGCTTCTTGCAGTCAAAGCTGGTCTAGCCACAGTTTCTTTGAGCATGGTTTGCTCACCTGAAATAGAGCCTTTTCATTTCTTTCCCTGGATATGGAAAAGACAGAGAGGTGGGCCGTCAGGAACTGTAAAGCACTTGTGCTTCCTCCTGCTTTGGTACTAATGCAGAGTGGATCTCTGTTGGCATCAAATTAAAGTCTGTCCACACTCACAAAATGAGAACTTCATATTTTGGAAAGATCTGCAAAACTGCAGAGCCTCTCCATCTAAGTCCATTAAAGTCAACGGGCTTAGGTTGGGGTCATTATGCTTAGGACTGTACTAGGAAAGACTCCTGTATTTCCAAAACTACTTGTGTATTTCCTTTTCTTATACCTGTAACGCTTTGGTGTTCTGGGTATAAATTCCATTTAACTCTGAATAATAGGGCTCCTCTGGACCACGAATACCTCCTCCCCCTTCCAGTTTTACTGGAGAAACCTAATTCTTAGAAGAACCCCAGTTGTGTAGGTACTCAGAATGGCCTGTTTATATTCCTACTGCCCTGGTTCGAATTTGTACTATGGGTATGTTAACAACTGTTTCATGCTGTAGATTTTTCCTTTTGAGTGTGGTATCTGTGCAAGCTAAGTTAAAAATTGACAGCAGTGGGCCCAGGGACATGCCTTACTCAGATGGGCAGTGTTAGGATTTAATTATAATAAAAGCTTGTGTTTCGACAATGTAGGTATTTTTCCTGCATGCATTCATTACTGACTGGGGCTTTGTTTCCAGCTTGGCATTCCAAACTCCAGGCTGCGGTACTTCTTGATTGCGCGGCTTCAGTCAGAGCCCTTTCCCTTTCAAGTACCGGACAAGGTGAGGCTACTTTTCTGTAATGATCACAGATTCTGTTTTTATTTATTTATTCAAAACATTTGCAGGCCACTTTTGCAAAAGGCTCAGAGCAGCAGGGGGGGGGGGGAGAAATAAGCAGCATAACCAAAACAAAACCAAAATAAAACTGTGAAGTCAGATTGCATAACAGTTTGTAAAAGTAAGCCATAAAGCCCCCAGAAAGATCAACGCAACAGATGTGAAATCCAAAAAGACTTATGGGAAGGGATAAAGAACACCTGCCTCTGTTCAATTGGCAAAGCAGTCTACAGGCTTGGGGCTACAGTGGTAAAGGCCCTGCTCTTGGCTAACTCGAGTTTGCAGGGCAGGACTCTACCATTCAGAATTTCCAGCATGGTGTAGTGGTTAAAGAGCAGTGGACTCTGATCTGGAGAACCATGTTTGATTCCCCACTCCTCCACGTGAAGCCTGCTGGGTGACCTTGGGTCAGTTACTGTTCTCCCAGAACTCAGCCCCACCTACTTCACAAGATGCCTGTTGTGGGGAGAGGAAGGGAATGTGATTTTAAGCCGCTTTGAAAATCCTTAAGATAGAGAAAAGCGGGATATAAAAACTTAGTCGTTTTCTTATCAGACTTATATATAAGCCAATTGTATATAGAAAGTGCTTCAACCATGAATTGGTTGGTCCTTCTTCTTATCAGACTTCTATATAAGCCAATTGTATATGGAAAGAAAAGTGCTTCAACCATGAATTGGTTGGTCAGTAGATTATGTGACTACTGTAACACTTTCTACTTAGGGCTGCCTCTGTCGCAAATCCGGAAGCTGCAGCTAGTGCAGAATGCTGCGGCCAGGTTGTTGTTGGGCCTCTCTAGGCGAGACCATATTCGGCCTGGGCTGCAAGCGCTGCACTGGCTGCCGATAGCATACCGGATTCGCTTCAGAGTGCTGGTCCTTACCTTTAAAGCCCTGAATGGCCAGGGTCCGGCTTACCTGAAGGACTGTCTCTTCCCGTATGTTCCCTCAAGAGGACTACGATCCGGGAACTTCCATCTCCTGGTAGTTCCAGGTCCCCCTTATGCAGTTCCGCAGGGCCTGCAAGACAGAGCTCTTCCGCCAGGTGTTCGACTAGGAGCCGCCGCCACCACTATTCTACCACCGATGTGGCAAGTCATTGGCTGCCCTATAACAAAAGTGGGGCTGGCATGCCCAGGCAGAAGTTTTGGACAGCGTAGCGGGAGACCGCGCCACTGAGACAGCTGGCCACCAAATTTGGGTGGTTGTTCCCATCTTGGATGATTAGGTATAGCGCCACATTAGAGGAAGGTTTGATTGTGATTTTAAATATTGTATTCTACTATATGTTGTATTGTATTTTACACTCGGCTTTGCCACATGTGAGCCGCCCTGAGCCTTTGGGAGGGCGGGATATAAATCAAACTAATGAATAAATAAATAAAATAAAATTATTGTGGGTTTAGTTTCTGCAATATCTAGTCCATTCAATATGACATTGAAACCAAATTAGTCTGATTTATTTCAGTGGGACAGAACTGACTCTGGCTTAAAAGAGTTGTGGTTATGCTCTAGTACAGTGATTTATTTATTTATTGGCTTACAACAATGGTGTATACAAGTCTCCTCTTGGACCAAGTCTCACTGCCAGTCATCTACTCTTTCTTGTAGATCTAGAAGATAGAAATGCAAGCTAACTAATGTCTGCTTAAGGTTGAAATAAAGGGGAACATGGGAGACTGACTGTAACTGGTGAGGGCCAATTAAAACATTATGCCACCAGTCATAACTTTAGAAGTCTTCTTACCACTTGGATGGCTGGGATTGCATGAAGTCTCCATGTTCCCAAAGTTCAGTGTTTCTGTAGACTTTTCAGGTGATTGGGGCCACCCTCATGGTAAATGGGTTTCAGGCATTGTACTTCCTTGTTACATGTGGTCCCAGTTCATGGAAATCTTTGTCAGAATTCACGTGATTTTATTCCTGCATCCATATAACAACAGCCACAATCTCAATGCGTCTCAATGTTGCCAAGGCATCTCAATAGGTGCTGCTATAGCACTGAAGTGCTATATTGTTCTAGGGCTGTAGCACTTAATTTAGAATGTTTTTTAAAAGTTTGAGGAACATAACATGGCAAAAAAGGGTAGAGGAGAAAGTGCAGCGCTATATGAAATGGCCAGATCACTTCATAGGTGGCTTATTAACGGAATGAAATTCGCTGTATGAAACCCCCTGTATCGCTTTACTCAGAACCGGGCCAACAAAGGATAGCATCCGGTTTAGAAGAGTAATGTGAACGGGGCCTTCTTCTAGTGGAAGAGATGTGGGTGCAAGTTCCATTGGAAAAAGGCCCCACTGTTCGTGGAATGGGCTTGGGAGCCAATCAATTGTATCCAAAAGTAATGATTCCAGAACAAATCCTATTTAAATCTATAAATAATATATGTGGCTAATGTGTGTGTGGGGGGATGAAGTCACATTTTACATGGAACAGCTCTTGGCATGGCAGTTGAACTAGTGGATTTCTCTAAATTTTGTTTGCACCTTTTTGTTTAATGTTAGATTCTGACTGTTTTCCCAAGCTTGGAACTAATGACTTCAGAGATATCCAGGGATGCTACTGGGCTGGAAGCAGGTGGATTGCCAGTCCCTACAAAAGGCGCAGCCTCTAGTGTCAAAGATAACAGACAGCAGTGCCGGCAGAAGGAGGACTTCCTCTTTAAGCTTGAAACAACTGAAGAGCTAGAAAAGAAGAAGCAAAGGGACAATGATGTGTCTGTGCAAATGCTAAAAGATTTCCTCGAGGAAGATGGAGAAGGACTGAGTCAATATTTCCTACCACCAAAGTCCTTATTGCGTTATGCTTTCCTTCTAGACATTGTGACACCCACTTGCAGGAGATCTACGTGCTTCACAAAAGGGTAAGCCTCCCTGAGAGAACACTCCAGGGGGAGTGTTAGCTGAGTATCAGTTTTCTTAAAGTGGGAAACATTTAAAAATCAGCAAGCCAAACTTTTCTGGAACACATTAACTGCAAGCTTCCTGACTTAATAGTATAATAGCCTGTAAGAAGATTCTGAGACAGGACTACCACTGCATGTTGAATTGCTTTCAAAGAAGCACAGATACCCTGAGCAGAAGCATAGGTTCTGTGGCTTGCTATCCTAATGTTCATTGAGATGTGTATCTAGTCCTCATTAATACTGCCAGTTCTCCTAAATCAAGCCTTTAGATTGTAGAAATCAAAAACAGCATCATATATTCCTGCATAGCTGTAGATCTAATAGTCGTGGCACAAGGTACTCAGCATCATCACATCTACACTTGTGTAAAGAATCCGATTAACCTTCTGAGTCTTAAGGAAATTGCCTTAGTAAAACTTCAGAGTTATAGTCTCATTTTGTCTCCTGATGCAAAAAGTTCCACCATGCAGGTTAGTCTTTCACTATTAATCCATACTTTTTCACATATTCTAGTCTCCAGTTCCATAGGACAAAATCCTGTTAATCCAGATATGCAGATTCTGGTTAATCCAGTTTCAGGCCTCATAACCCAATCACTTCCAGCCACCTTCTTCCCTGTCCTTTTTATCCCCATCTCCAAATCTGCCTTGGATTCCGTGGGTTTTATTCCCCTTTGTCTCTCTCCAGCTGACCTTGGCCACCCTGTTAGCCTTCTGTATTTGGGATCTGAGCATTTTGTTCCTCCATGTTACCAAGGAAACAGCATACTAACCGTTCAGTGTGGAGAAAGTCTTTTAGCCCACCAAACTATTTCCTTTCTTTCCCTTTCCTTGAAATGTTATTCTATTGCACACTTTTGCTTTTAGTCACTGCATTCCTCTGTCTTTACCCCCAAAGTATCTCTCTCCAGCCTGTATTCTCTACAATAGTAATCAAGCAAACAGAGCCAGTTTCTTAGATTCTGGATCCCACTATAATTAGCGTGAAATGACAGTCTGGGAGAGACTGCTGAGTAAACGTGTTTACACAATGAGTCACCTTAGCTCCAGAAGAAGGATCCTGTTGTTTTAAAAATACAGGATTCTTATTATTTATGGTGGCCATGTTTTCCCTTCCTGTCCTTTTAAAAATGAGCACATTCAACTAAGTTGAAAATACTTACATAAAAATTCGGTTGAGTTCATTGACTCTGTGCCCTTTGAAATGAAAACATGTAGCTTTTGCTTAATGGTTGTTTCTGAATATCGGTGAATCTGGTCTTCTGCAGTGGTCTCTTTCCTGCTGTATATGATGGGGACGCCATATGGTATTTCTGTGAGCCTGTACTCTGGATGCGGAATCAGTAGAAATTTTGATGTGAGTGAGGTGTGGTTGTGCTTCAGAAGAGGGAATTCACACAAGAGATAATGAACATGCCGCCCTTCCTCCCCCCAAACTGGATTCAGTTTAGCAGTCTCCTTTAAAAGCACTTTGTGCACTTGTGTTGAAGAAAACCCTGAATTTGAAGAAATGCAGCATGGAAATTCCTGGCTATATGTGTACACTTGAACAACTTCTCTATTCCAGACTGGTCTTTGCTTTCTAAGAGGAAAAACTGGGATACATGGGATAATCTTGTAGTTCCCAAATTGGTTTCATTAAATAAGAATGTTCTGTGTTAAACCTTTTAGTAAGCGCTGTCATGTTAGCCTCTGCACTCATTGATGCAGGAAATCTCAGAGGAATCTTGATGTATGGCTCTTAATTGATTTTTTAAGGTATGGACACTATATAGAAGGAACTGGCTCAGTGTTGCAGACAGCAGAGGATATTCAGGTACAGTGGTCTTGTATGTATCTTGGTTTCCTTTCAAGGCACATTTTGTTTGCAGCATGTCTGTGTGTGTTTACTTTGGTGGCCCTAAGCTCAGTGGAATTTGCTTCCAGCTCTGTGTACAGAATAGTGAAACCTTGGTTAGCCGGCTGTATAAAGAGAAAATTCTCTCCAGAAATAAGCTTTCATAGCTAAAATAAGGATCAGTCTATATCTGATGGTTTGTCTGTGTGCGGGAACAGGAAGCAAAATCCTAGTATATTTATACACATGTTGACCTATTCACATTCAAGGAGAGAGTCGGATTTAACAAAATACAGAGTGCAGAGAGGTAATACCTGCCCCTTTCCCCTCTTTTCCTCACGGTTTTCTCTTGAATGAAGCACTTTGCTCCCAGCCTGGCTCCTAGACAGAAGCAAGCCTGAATGGGAGAAAAGTGCTTAAAGCAGTAGAACACTGAGGGGGGACAGGTTCTTGTTTCCTTGCCTGTGAGCCTCCGTTTATTCAGATAAATAAATATATATCCTATCCCCACCTCCCTACTCTTCAAATATATACTTTGGTCCTAGTGCAGGCTCTCTGGATGTTCATTGTAGAATCCAAATATATTGATTTTTGTGGGTCTAAATACTGTACATAGTATTTCGATGTAGTTCAGAGTATTCCCATAGTGTTAAAAAAATGTAAGAACCAGCTAGATCAGTATGACCCTTGCAGAAGTGATTCAAGAACTGGGTTATTTAAAAAAGGAAGATTGATAGTGGACTGAAATTGTTGAACAAACAACTAGCCCTCATCAGATATACACATTGCTTGGCCTTTGTGAAAAATTATTAACTTAAGGAGAACCACCCTGTGATAGTTAATCTTCCACAGCTGTAAAAAGAGGTTACTAATTTCAACAAGTGCTATCTTCCTTACATCTTGGGTGAAAGGTCTGTTAGCAGTTGTACACAGGCCAGATTGATGATACTTTCTGGCTTTTATCATATTGCGTGTTGCAATCATTTTAAGGGCATTGTCATAGTCTTGTAAGACTGTCCAGTGACCACTTTCTCAGGATCAAAGACTGAATTCAGAGAACATTTTTACATCAAGACTGTCTTGACAGGCCTGATATTGATCCAATCAAGGCTTCTATAAACATGCTTAACTGTTTTCAATCCGAACCATCAGGGACACAGTATAATATCCTACTCTTCATGGCCTGTTAATAGAATTATGGTAGAATAAGTTATTGGGAAATTTCTTCCTGATCTGGATCTCCCTCTCTAAACCTCTTAGAGGCTTGAGCAAGCCAATTCAACCCCCTTCCCTTTTTCATTTCCTTCTAATGAATATTTGACTGCTGTCAGTGTCCCTGCTCCCTAAAGTATGCTCAGTTCGCACCAGGCCACTGGTATGATCCAGTATGTACAAAAAACCTATCTTTTCTGCTTACCTTGGGCATATCCCCCAAATATTTTGAAGCTCTGGCCTTGCATACAGGCTTCCTCATTTCGTCAGTTACTAATAGGCACTCTCTCCTCATGTTCCCTTGTTACTGGAAGGTGTGATAATTGTGCATCCTGAATAGTCATCTTGTACATTTTCCACAGCTTGAATCAGTATTTAAATCCTTTGAGAATTTGTCTGAAGAAGAGAAGCTTAAGAAGCTGTCAACCCTTAAGCTGCGGTACTTTACTCCAAGAGAAATAGCAAATCTTCATGGATTTCCTCCTGAATTTGGTACGTACCCTAGTTTTAAGACATGGTTGGAAAAGCCAAAAGGTTTTCTGGTGGCTATGAAAAAAGAGATTATATAGCCTTTATGTATTCAAAACATTTCTGCCCCACCACTCTACAAACAAAGGCTGGCACATTTGCCTTATTTCTGGTGATCTCCAGGTTTTGTGTGTTTGCTAGTTATTCTTGTATTGTAATTCCAAGTGGAAAAAAGGGTTTGATAGTTGATGCAGCTGTAAATTTCTGGCCACCGTACAATACATTTTAAAATGCATGTAAGTGGCCCATAATCACAGTTCATATTCTCTTTGGGTATTAGGAATGGATTTATTAGTGCTTCCTCCTTTTGGATGCGGCATATGCAGTTATTATATGGAGCAATAAACTATCCTAATTGTTTTATCTTAGTCAATGTTAATAGGTCTCCTAAGATTGCTGAAACAACATCATTATGATTGACCAGGATGCACTTGCACCTGTGGCTTGCTTTCAAAAGAATGACATCAGATTATTTAGAAAGCTTTTTTTTCCACAGGTCATAGAGCAAGGGAAAAGAGGGAAGAGCTGAGATCGTTGGCCCAGAGGCCTAGTTAAAAACAGCAGGGGGGAAAATTTCACTGTATAGAACCTGTTTGCAGACAAGAGGTCTTTCAGAGCATTGCAGTTAAGACTGGAATTGCTTGGGTATAGTCCCTCCACAGCCCTCAAGTCACGGAATAATTTTCTGTCCATTTTATTTAAATAGAGCCAGTGACACTGTTTGCCAGAACACAGAGAAAAGGAGTGTTCTACATTTTAGTGTAGCTAGGCCAGTGTTAGATTTCAAACCATGAACTACATCAACTCAGGCGTGTATTTCTAAATAAGGGCAATATGTTCTGGAGCAGACCAAGAAAACAGAATGCTTATATGTATGTACATAAGAACCAGTAATTGCATTTAGAATAACTTGACCAATTTCCTGTGATCAGGCGTAGGCTGGTTTTTGCTTTTTGACTGAGTTGTGTTTGTTTTAGATTTTCCTGGCAATGTAACCATGAAACAGCATTACCGTCTGCTGGGGAACAGTCTCAATGTACACGTCGTTGCAAAATTAATCTCAATTTTGGTTAGAGAACACTGAAATGCTACATAGCCAGGAGGCTACCCAGTGAGATATCTCCTATGGATTTCTTAAGTGGAGTAAAACTGATCACCGTGGACTATTTGTAAGACTGCTCATGTTTAACATTCATAACAAATACCTGTGTCAAGAATACATTTCTTTCACTGTACATAGCTGTCTTATGAGTTGTGGAAATAAAGATTATTATTAAAAATGGAAAATATGTTACAGTTTGTGAATACTGAAACCTTCATGGATTCATGAGGAATAGATTGTCTAAAATAATTTGTGGTTATCTGTTTGTATAATAATGTTGCAATGAACTGTTTTATAAGAAGAGTAGGAGCAATTGTAATTCCTTTGCATGTCTTTAAAAATATGCTTCAGTTTGTATCACTTTGCTTCTCCAAATGAATAATGGGATTTATTTTCAAAATTTGTATCCTGCCTTTCTGCCCTAACAAGGTCCATCAAGGTCCACAACCATTTAAAATTACATGATAAAATCATTAAAATCAATCCCTGTCCCAAACTTACATCATTAAAACAATTTTTAAAAGAATTAAAAAGCAGAGATAACAACTGGTTGTTTGCTGAACTGCTATTCTTTGATAGTGATTTTCAGTCTGCCCAGGCTCCCCTGCAAGGAAGAGGGCATTACTGTTAAACCAGTTTTTGGGTAGTGTAAATACTCCCTACAGCCTTAACCTTTTATGAATCAAATAAGTAAAGTAGTCTGGTGTATTGTATTTGGCCCAAGGCTGCATCATCTTGTGCTTATATATCCTCCCACCCATTAGCAGTCTAATATTTCCGACAATTAATTACTATCAGCTATACTTTGCCTTTATGTATCCCCTATTTCCTTTAATACTTACCCTCAGGTTAAGGTTTTTTTCTCTTGTTGGAGACTTGGTTCTTGAATATCCAATTTAGCTCAATTTCCTGTGCAAGTTTATTTAAATTCAAAGCCCATTAGTTGTCTGATATATCTTACTTCCCAGATATATGAGACCACTTAAGCACTCTTGTGGTTTCTGTGCTTTTTAAGCTCTCAGTCAATAAAGATACCATCTTCTGTCATTGGCAAGGCGTGCCGTGCCCTGCGGGGTATTCTTAGACAAATAGTATATTTTAGTTACTGAATATAAAGTCCCATAGGTGCAGAAATTGCTAACAGGACAATGAATACAGGAATAAAAAGATATAAAGGTGATATTGTGCCAAGTTGTGCCCTTGGTTTTGCCCTTATTAAGTCTGGATTTGGCACAATGTGTTTTGCATACATAACTGTGTTCATATGACACACTTCCAGTCTAGAATGATGTTGTGGGATTAAAGATTACATGCCTTGAAATCCAGTCATGTTTCCTATTACAATTACCTTTTTGTTTGCTTAGTTCATTTCTACCTGGCCTTTCTCCCCAGTGGGGACCCAAAGTGGCTAACATGGTTCTCCTCCTTCATTTTCTCTTCACAACAACCCTGTGATGTAGGTTAGGTTAAGAGTGTGTGACTGGCCCACGTTCATCCAGCAAGCTTCCACCGCAGAGTAGGGATTTGAATCTTAATCTCCCAGATCCTAGTCTAGCACTTTTAACCACTACACCACATTGGCCTTTTCTTAAACAAGATGACAAAGTTTCCATGTAATCTGCAGTGCAAAGTCACTTACTCAGATAGCAAAAAAACTGTCAAAGACCCAAGGATGTATTAACTAAGGCAGTACCTGTACAGTTGCTGCTTGGATATGAATGAAGCCGGAGGACTATTAACAAACATTATGTGTAGGGTAATTGGAAGAGGACGGCGGAAGACCGGAAGGCTTGGCGGGAGCTGGTCCATGGGGTCGCAAAGAGTCGGACTCGACTGTGCGACTGGACAACAACAACAAATTGGAAGACTGTGGTGTGGGAAGATCTCATCCAAAACCGTCTCTGATACAGTTGTGTCATCAAGGAAATAAAGACTGGTCAGTTATGCCTGGACACCATGGAAGATCTCATCCAAAACCATCTCTGATACAGTTGTGTCATCAAGACTGGTCAGTTATGCCTGGACACCATCCCACTTGCCATTTTTGCTTACATTCTTTATGTGGTTAATTGAATATAATACCACAAGGGATCAATTCTCCCCAGCACCCCTTGCGGAGTGTTTATGATAGACAGAAGTATGCTGTTACAGCATTTCATTGGTTCATGCTCAAGGTCTATATCTCTGCATTGGCTGTTTCTGCAAGAGCATTTGCAAATAGTTTAAATATCACAATACCAAAAGGGGAGGGGGGAATGGTGCCAGAGAAAATCCAAAGTCGATCTACTCCCATGGAGTTAAAGTGGGAATCCTGGTGATAAGTAGTATAAAGTAACATATTTACCTGAAATGAGTTAGGAACTGGAATTCTCGATCTCCCACTCCTCTATAGCAAATAAAAGTTCAAGATTCCTGTAAACAGAAAATGGTGCAGCACTGGCTTGTTGGGATGAGGAGGAAACATACACATCAGATAATATTTTGTTCATAATTTTGGACCTAAAATTCTACTGATAGGACTGAAGGTAAATTATCCATCCAGGTCAATACCTTTGTACTGCAAAGAAATGAAAGGCCATCAGTTTCATAGTCTACTTCCAATGATCAGCCCAAAGAATCTATCCCACAACATCCTGTTTCCAAAGGTAAGCACTGTAACGAGGCATCCACTGATTTAATACCTCCAGATGCCTCAAGCATCTGTTCCTGTGTTGAGGGAAGTGTCTCTAGTGAGGGAGCTGTTAAGAGAAATCTGGTTTCAGGATTCATTAGGGGTTCAGGATGTTCTATTTTTATTGTATTTTATTGCACACTTTGTATTGTATTTTATTGTATTTTATTGCTTTTATTGTATTTTATTGCACACTTGTGCCTTATGGTTGTAAGCCGCCCTGAGCCCGCATGCGGGGAGGGCGGGGTATAAATGAAATTAAATAAATAAATAAAAATAAATATTTTGTTGAGTACACAAAACTGTCTTTACCCAGAAGCCAAAAAAGTGAGAAGAAGAGGAGACTGGATTTATACCCCGCCCTTCACTCGGGGTCTCAGAGTGGCTTACAAACTCCTTTCCCTTCCCCTCCCCACAACAGACACCCCTGTGAGGTAGGTGGGGCTCAGAGAGATTTGACAGAAATTGCTGTTTTCAAGAACACCTCTGACATAACTATGGCTTCCCCAAGGTCATCCAGCAGCTGCGAGTGGAGGAGTGGGGAATTAAACCCAGTTCTCCCAGATTAGAGTCCGCGCACTTAACCACTACACCCAAACTGGCTGACATTACACATCTCTTTAAATTTCATATTATTTAATATAGAGATGTTAGGAGAGTATCATGATTTTGGCCCTTTCCATTTAATCAGGATTTATTCAGTTTTCTAGGTTGCCTCTGACCAAAAATCAATTGCCTTTTCCAGAGAGGGGAACAGAGAGGCTAGGAAAAAAGGAGGGAAAACACAGGTAGTTCGAGAGCTCAGGAGCAAGCCTGTGAGAAGCTGTAAGACCGGTCAGTAGGTATTGTGGAAGTTGAAGCCCAAGACACGCTTTTATTAGAACTGATTGTGCTAAGAGGAACCCAAAACATCCTACTAATTAGCAAGAAGCCACAAATTGCCTAGAGATTTACCCTTGTGTTATGTATTAGGTCTGGAACATTCCAGGATTATCTACCAGAGACTGGCTGAGCTTGGAGCTCTAGAACAATAGCCCACCGGGACTCTGGAGGTGACCAATGAGGAACTAATGTTATCTAAATAGCTTATCGTTGAGAGTTGGGTGTGGTTTTTGCATGCTATTTAAACAGGACTGTTGCCCTGAGGTTTTACTCTTGTTCCTGAAATCACTCAACAAAGTAGAGCTTTTCACTGCAATGCATCTTGAACTCAGTATTTAACACCCTGAATCCACTTATATCTTCCAACCCTTTGTTGGATGAAGCTTCCTTGTCTACCCTACTAAAGTACTTGTTGCCATGAGTTATGTGGTTCCTGGTACCCAGCATATTTATAGAAGTAGCTAGCTCTAAAGTGCCTTCAGCACTTTCCTCAGATCTATGTGGTCACATTATTATACTTCCATATCCCTGGAGAATCTGTTTGCTGTTTGTGAGGTATGGCTCAGAAAAAAACAATGGGTGAACCATTATTTTTTACAAATTAAACATTTTGCTAATGTTCCACCCCAAACAGTATTGAGATCCAAAGTATAAGAACAATACAGCATGTTCTACTTTTTAACTAGAATGATCGTACCTTTTTATTGTTTTCCACATTAGTTATATTTGCCAACATTGTATGGGCAGGTTTAAAATCTGGTAAATATAGTTGGTAAGAACAAAGTAACACTTCAATTGTTCTAGAGTAATTAATTAAATGCAAGTTTTAACTAGGGATGGGCACAAACCAGCTGATGAACTAAAGCTCATCACAAATTTTGACCGGTTCGTGATTCACAAAGTGATGTTCACAAACTGAAGAACCACTAGGAACTTCCATTCATTGGTGGAGTTTGTGAAGAGCAGAAAGCAGGGGTTTATCTGCATTATAGCAATAGTTTTGCTATTGTTCAGTGTGGTTTTAGGGAGAACTGGAGACTTCATCATCCCACTGGTGGATCATCCAAAGTGATGGCCATATGTCTGGGAAATGGCTAGTGGTTGTGGTAGTGGCCAGGTCTTCCCATTGATGCCAGCAGTTTTGAGTGTGGAAAAGGCAGCCATTGACTATGACATGGTCCTCTGTTGAGTCAGCAGTATTTATCAAACTGCTTTGGTGTACCCTAATGTTTCATTGCTGCAAAGGTCAAAAAGAATGACATGTTCAGAGGCAGAGCTACTTTAAACTGGTTGGAAAAACTATCCCTTAGATCTTTTTAGTTAGTGGTACAAAGAATTCACTCTTATGTCGACTTTAGCTTCTGCCTCTGAAAATAACCACATTACAGCAAGAGATCCACTGAACGTCAATATTTCAACTCTGTATAAACCTGCTCCCCACTCAAATGTTTATCAACTGTGTCTTTAATGACACCTCAGGACAGCCAATAATGTTTACCTCCATGCTGTGAAAAGTCGATACTTGGTGGTGGTAGTTGTTTTCTGATCATTTGGCAAGCGGTTCCATGGCCCACAGTTCTCCACCTTCCAGGCCCCTTAGCCTGTTCAGCTCCCTTCCCTCACAATTCTCTGACCTTTGTTTCATCTAATTAAGCTCATTTTGAATAATATGGTCTCCCTTCTGCTTTGTCGTTGGCTGCTGCTTCTCTCAAATCTCAAGCTGTGCCAAATGTTCATAAAGTCAAAATTTGGACACCAAAGGGGGATTTCACAGGCCAGAAATGTTTCCCTGAGTCCCTCAATGTTTGCCCTTCAGGTGCCTGTTCAACACTGTCTGTAGCCCTTCCAGACTGGGCCTTTTTTCCCCTTTTCTTTTTTTCTTCTGGATGCATTATGTTTCAGCAATTCAGGGAGAACTGTCGCTAGCATGCTAGCCTCACACAGACTCCACACAGCCAACCAGATTTCACTATATGATAATGTCACAAAGCCAAATCAGACACAGCACAATGTATTTTGTACTCATTCAGCTTATTCCCACATGGTTTCTTATTGCTGCTGTAAGTATAGAGGCATTCAAAGGAGAAACCAAGCATCAGCTCACAGGGTAGTCCTGCATTTTCCCAGCACCATGAATTCTATCCCCCAACTCCCCATCCTCCAACACTGGTAAGCTTTTTCAAAAAAAAAATTAAGCCTACCAGTGGGGGTGGGGCTGAAAAAATAAGGGGCAATTTGCAGCAGCAGTGAGAGACCTGTTGTAATGTGGAAGCAACCCAAGTGAGGGCAGGAAGTATTGACCTCTCTCGGATTTGGCTTTGTGACATTATCTGCACAGCATCTGATCAGCTATGTGGAATCATTGATATCAGTACACGTGGCCTGCATACTTTCTGAACGGCTGAAACATAATCAAGAATGGTGCTGATATGGGTGGACCTGGGAAAGATCCAGCATTTCCCATTCACATGGCAGCCACCTCACCTTTGCCACAATATTTTGAAAAAGATGGTAGGG